AATCAATAAATAAATATTTATTTTTTTTCTATTTTTAATTTTTTTTTTGCTACCTATGAAAAACAACCCCCCCAAATGTTTGATTTTTTTTTTTTTTTAATGCAGGCCGATAGCGGTCGACGTGCGCAGGCCGAGCGCGCGTGCCGATTTTGAGTGCGCGCCCCCGCCTGGGCGTGGCGTGGCCGCGCACATACTTGGTCGCGTGGCCTAGGCCGTGGGCCCGCGGCCGGCCTCCTCGGCTGAAGGGTCCGTGGCCGACGGTGTCACGTAGCTACACAGAAGGAATGAAGTCAGTTGACCGAATTGTTCCATCACGAGGCTAAAGAAGAATTTCGGGTGATTCCGACTACCACGTGGACATTTGATCTGAACATTGAGAGCAGCGAGCCTAGCCCTGCTCCGCCTGTATCTCTTCTTGCCAGTGCCGTACCCCCGTTCATCGTTCATGACCCTGGTGAACGCGGGCCGGTCACCGGTCACGTTTTTCGTGATCGGTTGGAGTTCACGGAGTTCACCTAGAACGGGAACTCCGTTTGTTTTTTTTTTTTTGCATGTAGGGGGGTGTTTTCTTTTCACACGTTTGTGCTCCATGTCAACGGGCACCTTCCCATATTTTTTATTTATTTTTTCGATTGGAATATATTTTTTTATTTTATTGAAAAAAAATTATAATCAAATTCTGCTATGTTAGGCATGGCTATCGTCGGTCGTGTGGGGCATTCTCAGGCTGTTCTGGGCCCTAAAAAAAACAATTATGATGATATTATGATGACATCATGACACTGAGGCAGGCTGCTAGCGTCATACTACAAAAAAAAAAAAAAAAAAAAAAAAAACGGGAACCTCAATTTCAGAGAAGTTCTCAGCTCATCCCAAGTTTGCGACTTCAGCATAAGGATGTACACCTCCTCACTCAACTCCTCGCAGACAAACAGCGGCAGCATGCTCCACATCTCCTTTTCGTCCCACATCTTCGCGAGGGCGAAATCCTGATAGCCGCCTAGGAAGGCAGCCAACCCCCTTCCCTGAAACAGCAGGACGCGGAGCTCTGGGGGCATCGAGTCACTCACTGACTCGCACAGCAACACTTTACTGAGGCACGTACTCCTCCAGGATAGGATTTTGGCGAAACTGCTCTCTTCAGCTATGATGCTGGTACTGGCCTGACACGCATGACAAGCAGTCGACCATCAGGTTAGGGCGCAAAACAACTTAAAACAAACAGGGCTAGTGAAAATTGATTACTACCCGTCTCACACCAACTGTAACGAGCGTGAGGCTGAGGGTGCGCCGAGGGAGAGGAGAGAGAGGGAGAGAGTGAGAGCACACACACACACTCACTCACTCGACACGACGGACTCGGACTGAGGATCGGACGCAGRCACAGTGGCAAGGCACAAAGTCGAAGTCTTGGATTCCCGAATGCCGAAAACAGCAAGTCACACTGAGTACGAGTACAGCAGCAGAGAACTGCTACGAGACTGGTTCCCGTACCGTACTGGGAGCCGGTATAAGTACCGGTGACACGTACGGTACCAGGGGCATTTCTGCAAAGGCCCCGAGGGCAGAACTGAAGAATGCAGTGTTTGAAACTGGCGCCCGAATTGCAGCATGGTGCCAGTTGTCCAAAATCCTACGGTACCAAGGGAGGGGTTTGGAAAAAGGGTGCCAGGCCGAAAACGGGATGCAGCCTAAACAGCAAAAGATAGACCAGGGATCGAGCCCTGGCGAAGTCCGTAACACTATCCCCTCCCTCTAGAAGGCAACGTCCTGGCTGCCAAAAATCATGAAGCAATGCTGAAATCTGTGAAGGATAGGACGGGGCCGATCACTGGTTAACAAGTCGAAAGGGAAGAGGGGTATAATGTGGGTGGCATGGGCTGCGGGAGTAAGAGGGAACAAGGTTTGGTACCGGTGAACAGAGTTGTCCTACTAATGAACTAGGGGGGGTTGCAAGGAACAGGGTAGTCCTACAAATGAACTGAAGGGAAGATAGGGAGCAGGGTGGTCCTACTGATGAACTAAGGGGACTGCATGGTTCGCTATAGGTTAAGGGGGAACAGAGTTCAGGGAACAGGGAACTTTTATTGATGTTTTACTGGGTAAGGGAAACGGTGTTCAGGAAAACAGGGTATTTCTATTGATGTTGTAGTGGGTAAGGGAAACAATGGTCAGGGGAACAGGGGATGTGCTAATGATGATCTACAGGGTTGTCAAAGTCAGGAAAAAAAAACAAAAAAATGAAAATGTTTGTTCAGGGTGCGAAGGCTGGTGTGTCCGAAGGAGTCGGAAGCAGAATCTCATGTAGGAACAAAGTGTCCAAGTGTCTTGAAAGGGGGTCTGCAGCGGTCTTGATTAGGTCTTTGGAGTAGGTGGTAGAAGCGGTCTTCAACAGCTGCGATAGGTAGAAGTCCAAGAAGTGTAGTCGTAGTTCAAGTGTCAAAGTCCAAGTGCTAGGGTGCGTCCGGTACACGAACTGCAATGAGGTCTGATCTGGAAGCAAGGAAGTCGCAGACTGGTGCAAAGATCCATGTCATAAGTTGTTGCTCCAGTAAGTCCGCGAGTCGGGATGCCGGCCAATGAARCAGCATGGTGGCCAAACCAGCTGCATAATCTCCATGAACAGTGAGGCARCAGGCCATCRTCCTCGTGCGCTTGCCATTAGATCCTTTATCGCCGGCGTCACGCAAGTTCACAAGCATTGGACAAGAGAGACAAGGTAGTGGGACAGATGGGACAAGGCTAGGCRAGGGCAAGGGCAGATCAGACATCAGGAATGAGGATCAAGGGAAGGGTGGACTAGGTTCAAGGGTGTGTGTAGAGCAGGGTTGCAAGGGCTTGGCGGGGATTTATGCCATAGTGATATAGGTATCTATGACGTAGGTTTAGCACGATCATAGGCGCAGACAAGTTTCATGGCGTTCTTAAGATTAGAGAGAGATTCCCATGTAGATTCTTCGTCGRGGTATCCGGTCCATTTGACTTTGTGTTCAGTGATTGGTTCCGGATGATCAGGTACCTGAGTGGTTTGTCGACCGATGATGGTTTCGACAACGAATTCAAGGCATGTGGGTAGCATGATTGGTGGAGGTTTGGGATATAGGCGGTCGGCGAATTGGAGCGGGGATTCATGGTATTCATTTAGGTACTTGACATGGAAGATTGGGTGGACAGTGTTCAGGTGGAGGGAGGAGTGGGAGTAGAAGGGCCGGGTCCCGTGGAGAGAGGGGCTTGTCGAGTAAAGTGGCTAGCGTTGGGGCAGTTGGTCTGTTGATGACCTAACTGGCGGCAACGAAAACACCCGTTGTGTTCCTGGAGGTATATGCGTTCTGCGGGTGTGAGTTTCTGGAGGCGGCGGGGTGGAGAGGAAGAAGGTGGTCGAGAGGCACGATCCTGGCGTTTCATCCGTATAAGGTGGGTGGTCTGGAGGTCCTCGATGGTGAATTGGGAGGGGTCGAGAGAGGCATTGTCGAAGTCGTCATCAGAGGTGGGTTGAGTGGTGTCGTTATGAAAAAAGAGGAAGCGGGAGGGAGCGGGCGCGGACTGGTGATGGGGGTGGAATCGATTGTGGTGAAGCATGCGAGAGAGGAGGTCAGCAAGGGGCATGTCGGGTTCGTGGGCGAGAGCGGTGGCAAGATCTTTGTGGCATACTCGCTTGATGCGGGAGATGAACGCAAAGTCGGGAATGACGGTGGTGGGGAGGTGATGGCGGAGGGAGCGGATGTATTGGACGAAGCGGTCTGTGGGACCGGTTTGGCGGAGGTGGCAAAATTGTTCGAGGTAGTCGTCAATGGTTTTCTGGGGGCGAAAGGTGGCAGCGAGAAGTTTGGCCCATTGGAGGAAGGAGTGATGTGGTCCTCCAGAGGCTCGGCAGTTGCTGACTTCAGCCATCCACCATTTGGCGGCATTGCCGAGGAGGCGGGAGGTGGCAATGGGGAGCCAGTGGGCAAGGGGCATGTGGTGGAGGTGAAAAGAGTTATGGAGCTGGGTTAGGAAGAGGAAAACGTCCTCGTGGGGGAGGCCGGAGAAGGACATGATTTCGCCCGATCGGAGGAATGGGGGATTTCCCCGTCTCGGTGAACGATCTGCGAGAGGGTGTTGAAGCTGAGGTTATCGGGGGTGGTGTCGTAGCAGGTGTGGTCGATTTGGTTGTTGTCCTCAAGGAGGTGGTTGGGGGGGAGTTGTGGCGTTGCGGGGTAAACCCCCGAGGTGGCTTGGGAATAGGTGGGACGGATGGTGGGGATGGTGGAGGTGGTCATGATGGGTTGGGAGAGGGTTTGGGAGTGCGGGGGGGGGAGAGGGGTGACATGGATGGGCGAGGAATGAGGCGGTGTGCTGGATGCGCCGGATGAGGGAGGAGGTGGAGGGAACGGGACGATGGTGGAGGTTGAAGGGTTGATGGATGTGGTGGTAGAGGTGGTAGGAGTGGAGGAGGTCGGCGGGGGGGTGTTGCTGGAGGTGGTTGTGGAGGAGGGAGTGGTTTGCGTTGTGGGGGTTGGAGTGGTTTGCACTGTGGAGGTTGGAGTAGTTTGCACTGTGGGGGTTTGAGTGGTTTGCGTGGTGGTGACGACCGTGATGGAGGGGGTGGTCCCTTCGAGCGTGGTGACGCGGTCGCATATGGACGACATGTTGGCCTTTATGTCGTCGAGAGAGGCGGTGACGGAGGTTCGGAGGGTGTTGAGTGCGTGGAGGATAGCGGAGAGGTCGAGGGTGGCGGTGTTTGCTGGTGGTTGTTCGCCTGCGAGGTTGCGGGTGATGCTATCAACTGAGTCGGTGCGGATGTCGGACATGTTGATGGAGGATGCGGCCATGTCGGGGGAAGAGGGGGTGGAGAACGTGGCCTGAGCGGGTGTGGAGGATGCAGCAGCAGCGGTGGCGGCGGCAGCAACGGAGGCGTCGAAGGCGGCGCGTTGGGAGTTCTTGGTTTGGCATGGTGGCATGTGGAGGGGGGGGGGGGAATCCCTTATTTATTTATTAATAAATTCAAAAATAAATATAATCCCCAAGTTTTTTCAAAAATAAACGCTGAACAGAAAGAGTTAATTAATTTTGAAAAAACAAATTATGATGTAGATTTAAATTTATTTACAAGAAAACGTGAAATTTCGATAGAAAATATTTTCGAATTATGGGGGGAAAAATAAATAAATTCTGAAAAGAATTAGGAAGAGGAAAATTTTAAAATATTTGGCAAGAATTTTTCAAAGGAAAATGTCAACATTTCAGAAAAAAAGATAATTAATTTCGAATAAAGAGATTAATTCAGTCGTGAATTAATTGAATTTAGTCGAAATTCCTCCTCCTCCTCCTCCTCCTCCTCCTCTTGCTGCTGCTGCTCCAACCTCTGCTGCTCGTCCGGCTGGCGCTCCTCTCCATGAGGCTGAGTTTGGGATCGCAATCTACATCGCGTCCCTGGAATCACCGGGGCGTCCTCTCTCCTCGTCCAAGACCTGTCGGAGTCCGACCTCTCGTCCACCCACTCCTCACCTGGAATGTGCTCCTCCTCTCCCTCCTCCTCCTCGTCCTCATCCTCGGCGTCCTCGTCCTCGTCCTCCTCCTCCTCGTTGACCTCCTCTGCATGCCCCAATCTCTGCACGGACCTCGATGTCGATGGGCCGGCTCGGTCGTGGCAAACAGTGGTGCCACCCACCGCAGAACCGGCGCCCCCGATAGCAGGCTCGTGGTCGTCAACGGCCTCGGTGACATTCGCCATGTCACTGAAGCCGGGCAGCCGACATGCCATATCGTAGATGCGTGACAAGCAGTGGACATCTTTGTCCACCTCTCGCAACACATTATAGGGCTCCTTCATGACGACAGTCAGCTTCCTGACATCGGTCCAGAAGACCCTGTCAAGAATTGTTTCCTCCACGAAGAAGGCCTTGGCCCTGATGTCCCCTCGCCAGACCTGCGCCTCCCGCTCCTGCCCGGTGACAATGCGTATGATCGCCTTCTCGCATACCTCCAGCCGCTGCAGCATCACGTTGTCAGGCGGCCACAAGCAGTGCGCCGCCTGAAATCTACGGTCTTGGGACTTAGGCGCGGAGAGGAGTCTGAGTTTTGACGGTACTCTGGTTAGACCAGGCAACAAAAATTAGGGGAACTCAGGGCACCCCTGATTCTGGGCGCACTGAGCCTTATGAGTAACCCTGAAAGATGGCGAGATAAGTGGCCACACTCGGCGCATCTAGGGACCGTCATTCCCAGCCGTTTTAAGAGCTAGACTCAGATTGACCTGCCGCGGAGAGACATCGCGGGGACTGACTTCGCCGCAACGTTTTTGCGGCATACAGTCGGGGCCAAAATGAGGCCTCGAATTTTTGACTATTTTTGGTGCCTAAACTAAAGATGGGAGAAAAGATTGGGAACAGTAGGAGAGAAGAGCAAAACGTAATATCCCTTAGTTCCTTTATTTTTCGCGGCATTTAAATTTTGGGAAAAAAACCTCGGTATTTTATGTTTCCGGCAATCAAATAGAAACCAGAGAAAAAGATTAAAAATGGTAAGGGAGAGAAGAAAAGAGAGAATTTCAACCATTTGATTAAACTCCCYCAGAATTCATTTTTGGTGAACCTATAGCTAATTCACTATTTCAGACGATAGAATTAAGGAAAAGGGAGAACGATTAAAAATGGTGGAACAAACAGGAGCTAATCATAATTCGATGCCTGAGTCTGGTTTTGCATGGGATATCCACCGTCAGCTCAGAACCCAGATTTGATCAAATTCCCTGAGCTCTAACTTTTTTTTGCTATTCCCCCGATGATNAGAGAAGAGATGGTTATTCGTGCTCAAGCGAGCTAAACGGAGAGTTCGCGTTAGACGTATTGGCGGGTCGATACCCTTCTCGAGGCAAAGACAGATGAGAAAGAGGATCGTGCCGGGGCCAAAAACCAAGAGAGACAGGATAGTCAAGAAGCCTTCTTAGCCCCAGGGCTCATAACAAACTGAAGCATAAGACAATTGAACGTCGACGTGGGCGACCTTTACAGACCATCACCCTGAAGCTCATCCGCTTCGTCTGACGAAAGTTGCTAGGGCTCGACGGGGGCGTCGAGAAGTGGTCCGGGCTAACTGTCAGGCGGCCACAAGCAGTGCGCCGCCTGAAATCTACGGTCTTGGGACTTAGGCGCGGAGAGGAGTCTGAGTTTTGACGGTACTCTGGTTAGACCAGGCAACAAAAATTAGGGGAACTCAGGGCACCCCTGATTCTGGGCGCACTGAGCCTTATGAGTAACCCTGAAAGATGGCGAGATAAGTGGCCACACTCGGCGCATCTAGGGACCGTCATTCCCAGCCGTTTTAAGAGCTAGACTCAGATTGACCTGCCGCGGAGAGACATCGCGGGGACTGACTTCGCCGCAACGTTTTTGCGGCATACAGTCGGGGCCAAAATGAGGCCTCGAATTTTTGACTATTTTTGGTGCCTAAACTAAAGATGGGAGAAAAGATTGGGAACAGTAGGAGAGAAGAGCAAAACGTAATATCCCTTAGTTCCTTTATTTTTCGCGGCATTTAAATTTTGGGAAAAAAACCTCGGTATTTTATGTTTCCGGCAATCAAATAGAAACCAGAGAAAAAGATTAAAAATGGTAAGGGAGAGAAGAAAAGAGAGAATTTCAACCATTTGATTAAACTCCCYCAGAATTCATTTTTGGTGAACCTATAGCTAATTCACTATTTCAGACGATAGAATTAAGGAAAAGGGAGAACGATTAAAAATGGTGGAACAAACAGGAGCTAATCATAATTCGATGCCTGAGTCTGGTTTTGCATGGGATATCCACCGTCAGCTCAGAACCCAGATTTGATCAAATTCCCTGAGCTCTAACTTTTTTTTGCTATTCCCCCGATGATCGAAACTCTCTATAACGCGTCCCCTATTTACCTGATTACTAACCTTACTGAGCCCGGCGGTACGGACGATGACCACATGGATATGGGCAGCGTGGGATCGTGTTACGTTGGACCGACAACATGATGTCAGGTTCGGTACCGGACATGTTTGAGGTTCGGCCTGAGCCGGTATCGGCGTMCTTCAGGTTCGGGCACCAGGGTGATTTATTTCCAGGGTCGGCATCATCACGRCTATTTATTTCAGGATCARCATCATCATGGCTATTTGTTTCAGGRCCGGAACCGCCACGGTGGCTTACTTTCAGGTCTGGAGCCACTATGACGATGTATTTCAGGTTCGRAACCTGGACGCTCAGCACCGACATCCTCAGGTACGACACAGGCACGGTACGGTTGTCTGTCATTCGGGTTTGGTTCGGTATCAGATGCGGTTCGACGACGATATAAGCTACGRCTCAAAAGGATTAGAGCGATATGGCACGGGCCGCAGCAGTTTGAGGCGGTTGTTTCACGGGTTGGCGTTGAATCAACGTACACACGATCATTGGTTGGTGAGAGCTGCTAAGGCATTGAGTACGGGACAACTTTTATTCTCTAGTGCTGGATGACACTAGGCTGATGCTAGTGGCTGCAGAACCGTCACACAGTCGGTAACAGTTCCGGTATGGGAATGACACGTGTGGTGCTTGGAGTGACATTGGGGTTGTGCTACAGTACTCTTGTACCGATGCTGGTGGGACATACTTGCTGCTCGGCACGGAAYCTAACATTGGTTGAGGCGGCTCCGGTCCGCTGAGCCTTAAAAATGASTAATTTTGGATATAACTACCAGTCTAACTTCGATGTGGTGACGGTACAGACGACCGCAGCCTGCGACACATGCTCCAGGTTCGGAACTGCTGCTGACCTCACTAATGCATTTGGGATGCTGAGACCGAACCTGGTAATTTTGAGGTGCGATGCTTTTTTTTTTCTTTTTTTATGGGCCCTGGGAAAAGGCCTTCAACTAAGGGTTGTGAATCCGTTTTCTCTGCGGGCCGCTCGTAACGACTGGGCCCCTCTGAGCACGGTCATTGGGCCTGGGATTCCCGCAGTCCATGGCCAGGGACTGCAGTCCTCTTATAGCCTGGGTGCTGGGCCTGGTACCGGGGGTACAGAGAGTGCGAGCGCTCAGCAATGAACAGGAACCGTTGAGGACCAGGGTTGACCTTGTGGGGGCTGCGTTCAAGACGGGGTAGAGGGTACATCAAACAAACCAGTTGGATCTCGCCGGTATCACCTATAAGACCACGAGAGAACAGGGTGGAGAGGCGGACTGGGCAGTCTGGGTAGTGCGCCAGGTGTACGCAGCCCACTTTAGAAGTTCGCCTCAAGCATGGTGGATGGGCCGGCAGTGAAGGGCATTCAGGGAGCTAGGTGTACGCCGCGCACAGCGCAGTGCGTTGGATCGGACAGGCGGCGGAGAGGGGGGCACTCAGAGAAAGGGGACGGGACATTGCGCCCGGCGTCCGCAGCCCATGCGCAAAAGTCCCGGTTAGCAGAGGAAGCACGTTTTTTTTCGGAGTGGAATGGACGAAGGGGGGGGACTGCGCGTGCCTGGCGTACGTAGCCCGTTGGCATAGGGATGAGAAGGGATGAAGAGAGTGCGCTGCCAGATATAGAATGCTCTGGCAGAAAGAGAGTGTGTAATCARAAGGAGAGAACGCACAGGTAGGCAGACAGAGAGTTCCGCGAGCAAGTCTAGCACGGAGAGAGGCRTGCACAGYATAGGGRAGAAGAAGAGATTGAGAGAGAGAGAGATCAAGATGGAGAGAGTTYGAACAGGGAAGAAGGGCGGAAGGAAAGTTGGCGAACGGGTATGATTCCATCAGTGTAGGAACGAGAGAGAGTGCGAGCGGGGTATAGAGGGAGCAACCGGCGGGAAACAGCCAGTCTACCGATCCAGTCCAATCAAGCAAATGGCGGAAACGGCTTGCCTCCATGATTCGAACTAATTAAGTAATTCTGYCGCAGGGTAGGATAGCGGGCTTYGGTGAGTCGGCCCCATCAAGAACCTCCRCAGCAGTCAGGAACGRCTATTTTCACATGTCGGGCTAATCAAAGTACACTTGCRGATCTGTTGAGAATAGCCACTGTGAGCGGGCCAGGCAAAGTCYCTTTGCAGATCTGACGAGAACAGCCTGCYTRAGCAGGCTAATCAAGGTACACTTGCGGATCTSTTRAGAATAGCCACTGTGAGCGGGCCAGCCAAASTCCCTTYGCAGATCTGACGAGAACAGCCTGTCTGAGCAGGCTAATCAAGGTACACTTGCGGATCTGTTGAGAATAGTCGCTATGAGTGGGCTAGCCAAAGTCCCTTTGCAGATCTGATGAGAATAGCCTGACCTAGCAGGCTAATCAAATTACACTTGCGGATCTGTCGAGAATAGCCGCTGTGAGCGGGCCAGCCAAAGTTCTTTTCCAGATCTGACGAGAATAGCCTGTGTGAGCAGGCTAATCAAAGTACACTTGTTGATCTGCTGAGAATAGCCCCTGTGAGCGGGCTAGCCAAAGTCCCTTTGCAGATCTGACGAGAACAGCCTGTCTGAGCAGGCTAATGAAGGCACACTTGCGGACCTGTTGAGAATAGCCGCTATGAACGGGCTAGCCAAAGTCCCTTTGCAGATCTGATGAGAATAACCTGTCCTGACAGGCTAATCAAATTACACTTGCGGATCTGTTGAGAATAGCCGCTGTGAGCGGGCCAGCCAAAGTTCCTTTCCAGATCGGACGAGAATAGCTTGTGTGAGCAGGCTAATCAAAGTGCACTTGGTGATCTGCTGAGAATAGCCGCTGTGAGCGGACTAGCCAAAGAAACGTTTGCTGATCTGTCCAGAACACCCTGTGGGAGTGGACCAATTAAGCAAGAACCCACCGCTGCTGATGGGAACAACTGACCTCACAGATCTGTCCGAAGAAGCAAGAGTACGCCGCCGCTGAAGGGGGGGGTAACTATTTTCGCCGTTCAAACCAGGCAAATACTTCTGCCTTTTATAGCACAATTGGGTCTTTTATCTTGTTTTCTTTTTCTTTTTATTTTATCATATGTTTGTACAGTTTTAACTCAATTAATTCCCGGGACTCAAGAGGCCGATCGTCTACAACTGCCGAATCAAGGGCATTCTAAGGAACTTTATTTCGGATCGATCGAGGTCAACACGGACGAGGGCGTCATCCCAAACTCTCAACCGAGTCGTTTTCAAATTGCCATTCAGGGTATTACTGGGGAATCCAATGCTGGCCGATTGAGAGCTTCTCAATCGAACATATCATTTGTGACTTTGATCCAGCCTGGTTACAATCTGCTCGAGCGCAAGGGGGCTATCCCG